TATATGTCAAGTATCCCTGAAAAAAGACAGAAAGTGTATATATGTGTGTGTGTGTGTGTGTGTACATATAATACATGCACATATTATATATATATATATATATATGTATGTGAAGGGTACTTCGAAAAGTTCACGGAAAGATCTTTCAATTCTATTATTCCATGAACTTTTTGAAGTACCCTCATATATGTATACACATATATAATACTTCATATTTAACACTAGGAGAAGCCTTACATATTACCATATATATCAACCTCTTAATGCTATATATGAGAAAGGAGCAGCTAAAGTTAATTTCCACTAGAAAGGGCCTAGGAAATAATTTTATTCATTTTACATCTGGTCAAAGTGAAAATGGGTCACAAACAAGACAAGTAATTTGCCAGGTTACACTATTGTAAAAGTCTAAGCAAGGTGGACTACACAGATTCTAAATCAATGGGCAAGATGATGGGACAAACTTTTGATACAAAACTGTCCTGAGCTCCCTCAGTAATCCCAAGGGGTGGATGACTTCATGGCAAAAATTCACAGTAATTTGGGAAGAAGCATTCTTTTCAAGCCTTAATATAAGACCTTATTAAACAGTCACTGATAGTATTTAATTATTGGAAAAACAATTATTTCTTGTATATGTTTCTGTACTACTAGCATGGAAAAGAAATATATACTCCCCAGTTTAATAAAACTATATTTTATATCTAAAGAAGTGAAATGAAAAATGGATGGTTCTGTTCTGGATCTCAGTCCACACCATGGTCAGCAGTGTACTATAAAAACAAAAATAACATCTTTTCATTGATCTTGCAAACTTAACTAATATGACCAAAATATCTGAGGTATTCCATAACACTTCCAGGGAGCCTAATTCCTTCCTGCATAATTTCACATGGATGGTGCAGCAGCATTGGAAACTGGTACACACATAAAGCACACGTGCTCATGAAAAACCTTCATGAGCTTTTGAAATGTAGGAGGGANAAACCCTTGGCGGGAGCGCCGCCGCGCTCCCAAGTGGCGCACTCTCCAGTGTGCCACTGGGCTGGCCCGAATTGTATTATTCTTAATAACTTAGATGCCCATGCCTAATAGATCAGTCAATTTAGAACCCTAGTTAAGGAAAGAGAGAGAATGCAGTGAAGAAATATAACCTAATGGTGCAACAATAGAGTAATGGTTAATTGATTTGGTACATCAAAGTGATGGAGTGCCCTTGATCATTAAAAATCAAGTGATAGGAAAAGATTTAATTACCTAGGAAATGTTAACAATCTTCTAGGCAAAAAAGATCAGGTCATAAAAGAGTAGTACGTATGATATGATTCTAATCTTGTAAAGCAAACAAATAAAAACAAAAGCTTAATATATGTCAAGTATCCCTGAAAAAAGACAGAAAGTGTATATATGTGTGTGTGTGTGTGTGTACATATAATACATGCACATATTATATATATATGTATGTGAAGGGTACTTTGAAAAGTTCACGGAAAGATCTTTTAATTCTATTTTTCCATGAACTTTTTGAAGTACCCTCATATATGTATACACATATATAATACTTCAGATTTAACACTAGGAGAAGCCTTACATATTACCATATATATCAACCTCTTAATGCTATATATGAGAAAGGAGCAGCTAAAGTTAATTTCCACTAGAAAGGGCCTAGGAAATAATTTTATTCATTTTACATCTGGTCAAAGTGAAAATGGGTCACAAACAAGACGAGTAATTTGCCAGGTTACACTCTTGTAAAAGTCTAAGCAAGATGGACTACACAGATTCTAAATCAATGGGCAAGATGATGGGACAAACTTTTGATACAAAACTGTCCTGAGCTCCCTCAGTAATCCCAACGGGTGGATGACTTCATGGCAAAAATTCACAGTAATTTGGGAAGAAGCATTCTTTTCAAGCCTTAATATAAGACCTTATTAAACAGTCACTGGTAGTATTTAATTATTGGAAAAACAATTATTTCTTGTATATGTTTCTGTACTACTAGCATGGAAAAGAAATATATACTCCCCAGTTTAATAAAACTATATTTTATATCTAAAGAAGTGAAATGAAAAATGGATGGTTCTGTTCTGGATCTCAGTCCACACCATGGTCAGCAGTGTACTATAAAAACAAAAATAACATCTTTTCATTGATCTTGCAAACTTAACTAATATGACCAAAATATCTGAAGTATTCCATAACACTTCCAGGGAGCCTAATTCCTTCCTGCATAATTTCACATGGATGGTGCAGCAGCATTGGAAACTGGGACACACATAAAGCACACGTGCTCATGAAAAACCTTCATGAGCTTTTGAAATGTAGGAGGGACTCAACACAAGATATTTGATATTTGATATTTGAAGAGAAGGAATCCTAGAGTCATCTGAGTGCCAGAAATATAACCCCGTTCTCTCCTGCCATAGAGTTCCAGCCCATCTTTGATTTTTGGTTCTTGTTCATTGATTCATTTTCTGACCCACGTGTATTTTCTGGTTTACTCTAAGCAGTTGAAGAGCCACTTACAATGGGTGAAATTTCAAGTCTTACTTACCCCGATCTTTTGGGGTGACCTAAGGGGTTCCTTCTTGACAAGTCTAAGATAAAAAGCTGCTGGAAGGATGAAAATCAGCATAGTGGCAGCAGAAGCCCCTGAGGAAACAAACACAGGGCAAGTCAACCTCTTACCCAACAGAGCAGATACCCCAGGTCACGCACTTCAAAGAAACCAAATATAAAGCTACCCTATTCTTCTTAGCACTAAAAGTACACATTTGAATCACATAAGCTCATCTTGGTTTCTTCCTCATAGAAGACATGTTAATGAAAATTAAAATATACCAAATATCATAGCTGCATAAGTAAACATAACATATAATAAGCAATAAAAAGCTGAACTTAATACAGATTTACATATAATTAGTAAAAGGAATTGATACTACGGAGGCTGAACTCATCACACGCCTCTCCTAGCCACCTCTTACTTTTTAATTTGCTTACACCTGATTCTTTTTACAGTTTTAGATTGTATTTAAAATTTGAGTGTGGTGCTACGGCAAATGTCTGCAATCCTGTCAACATCACCAGTTGTAGCACTCTTATCCTGTTCGTGACGCCAATTGTCTAGCTACTTGACTATGCCAGTTGTCGGGCTCTTTTACCTGCCAGGAATCCTGTACTGACTGGGCCAATGGCTGAGCTAAGGCTGGGTCTGGATCTCACAGACCCCTCAAGCCTGTTCACAGACTGGGTCACAAATCCTTCACATGCCAGGCTGGGTCCCCAGACCCCTCACATACCCGGCTGGGTCACCAGACCCCTCACACGCAGGTCTATGAGCTAGGTAACCAGTAAACAGGTCCTTGGAAGCCGTAGGTTGGAGAGCATGGCTGCGCACAGCGGACACCTGAGGCACTTGCCAGCCAAGGTGGTGGCACTGTGCATGTGCACTAACCGCACCCACACAAAGCTTGCTTACAAGGAATGTGCTGAACCACCTCCAACTGGCTATTTTGAAATTTCTTCTGCTGGATATTCCAGTTCATAACTCTTAAATTCCCCCACCCATAAAGCCTTAGGGCCTGGACACAATAAAGCCAAGTTCTCTGCAGTCATACAGCAGGGGTGACCCTTTTGTTTCTCCCCTGAGCTTAGGAGGTATTGGGGCCAGGCAGTACAAAACAAAACAAAACACTATTTCCTTCTCCTTTATAGGGTCATAGCTAAAAGTTACAGTTTTGGAGTATGAATCCTTGTGGACTGCATGGAGGGACCGGATTTCTGTTTCCCATTTCACCCTAGAGTTTTTAATGTACACCTGGTTTATTTAAAAGATGTTAAATTCAATCAACCAAGCACATATTCAGACAACAGAACTTGCCACCGCATTCTGGACCCTGAGTTTGATCTCCTCAATGGGGTGATCTAGGAAGACTCAGACTTGCCCTCACAAGCACCAGACACCTTTTAGTCAATCAAGGTGGGGAGGAATGACTTCCGGTGGATAATGAGGTGAGCGGTCACTCAGTCCAGCTGAAATGGAACGTACAGCTTTCCTAAGTTAGGCCTGCCTGGCTGCTGCCGACAACTCCCTTATGGCTTGCTGAGACAGTAGCGCACATAAACACAGACCTCACAGACAGGACACATACAGTTACACACATTTGCTCACTCAAATTATATACTGTACAGAGGGAAAGTGACCAGCTCAGCCACTAGAGCCCAGCATGTCTAATGGGAATGCCATGAGCCTCAGACACACTGGATCCTGACTACCCAGCACTGTCTCCCTGTCCACTATTTAAGGAGGTGTATATTTGGGTTGACTAAATAAGAACCTTTCTGAAGCTTACCTGTGAATCCAAAGATGTATTTTATAGTTGGCACAAGGATGACCAGAACATTATTAAGTGTAATAAGTATGGCCGCAATCAAAAAATGTCTTATCCAGCTGAAGGNCGCTTATTCAACATTGCCCAAACTGGTCTAATTAGTAGGCTTAAAATAAGCTTTTTATGATACATACATACTGCTCGAGGACTTATTTGTCTCACAGTGCTAAACTTTAACAAGGAGAATACAGGTTCATTTTCAGGAAGAGGTCAGAATGTGCTTGCTTTTCAGTTCTCTGTTAAAACAGTGCATTCAATTCAGTAAGCTGAGGTGGAGGCAACCCTCCACATACAGGGCCTCTGAACGTAAACGTGATTCTCTAAGGTTTCAGGGCTCCCAGAAAGACTAAGATTTGGCCTAGTGATGGAAGAGTACAGAGGGTTTACAGGAATAGTAGGTAGAACGGTCAGAGGAAATGGCAAAAGCTTCCTCTTTATAGTGAACAAGAGATGAGAAAATCTCAAACAGAGCCAAAGGCATATGGAGTTGCCAACGCACTCCCGAGGAGAGCAACAGAGCCGAGCGGGAGAGAGTAGGCTGGTGCTGGCGGTGGAAAAGAGCAGGGAGACCTGCCGGTCTTGTTACAATGCCGTCCTGAGGAGGGGCTGGCCTCAACAGTCCTCAGCAGCTCTATTTACCTATGTCAGGGCAGAGGCCACGCTGGCTTCTTACCCACAAAGCCTTGTCTGCTTGTCCACTTATTTTTGTGCCCTTTTCTCTACTGACACAAACTGATAAGAACCTGGGAATGTGGGGCAGATGCTGTGGGAGAGGGAAGTCTCAGAGACACCCAGGGCCTCTAACCCAGAATAATTCCAGAAAGGTTCTAGGCAGTTCAAGAGAAACCATCTTATTTCCAGAGAGAATGTCCTGAACAGGAGCCTGTCAGCAGGAGCTATGTTCTGATGTGGGGACCCAATGTGAAAGCCAAAAACGTGGAGCCAGACTGGAAAGTGAGAGCTTTAGCTCCAAACTCTTACAAAAAAAAAAGAAAAAAAATCAATTCCCCCCTAGTTTACAAGTGACTCACACTTGCACTTGTAGGATTGCCTAGGGCAAGGGTGTTGGAAATACTTATGAATCACTACTCTATTGAAGTTCATGCAAATCTGCAGTATTTCTATGCCTGTATCTACCTACATTTCAAAACAGGAGATTTGAAGGCAACATAAGTGAAAAGAATGATTTTACCATGATACGATGAAATCCTAAATAAACCCAGCAGGATTATTTAGTTTTCTGTTTTTCATGGTGATGTGTGAACTTTACTGCATGAAGGGAAGCACAAGCTGAAAATGGCATCGTCAGTCCTCTGGAAGGAGGCGCAGTCTCATCACAGACACCCCCACCTCATATCACCCCCTCGACGACTGAGAAAAGAGAAATGTTGAGCTGCTAGTGAAAAAGCTGGATTTTTAACTCACTTCATTAATTCGCCTGTTCAATAAACATTACAAGCAGTTACCGTGTGCCTTTTCTTAAAAAGGAAAAAAACTGAAATAATTGGAGAAAAGAAATATGACGAATGGAGAAAGG